GAGAGAGAAACTCTACTGCAAATCACAAATCCAACCACTGTGTGCACCAGCAGAGTTTTGCTGGCATCTAATGGGGAAAATTTGGTACTGCGCCCAAAAACAATCTTACTGAAAGCTCATTTTTTGAGATATCAACCTCAAATTTGGAATACAACTTGTTTAGATTTATGGCTTTGATTTTCTAGCAGGTATAGAGTTCAACATGTTTCATAAAATATATATTTTATATAAAACATCGTTCATAAATCATTTTCATAAACCTAAACATCTAGAACTTTTTTTTTGGTTTCACTTTTTAAACTTTTTTACTTCAACAATAATCTGCCATGGGTCTTCTTTAAAATGAGACCAAACTTAACTCTGTGCTCCCAAGCTTCAAATTTTTATGACAGTTTTTTGACATGGACATTTTTGTCCACTATGGACCTATGTGTAACTTTTTTTAATTGACGCACAAGGGTTAAATTATTAGCGTTAAAGATTACCTTCAAGTAAGTGTTAGATGACGTCAAACTTAAATGTAAAAACATGGAAAATAAGCATCCACAATTAAATATCCATTATCAGGCAATACCGATACATTTTAAAATCTGATATGGTGATATGTTTGATATATAGTGGATCTGTAGTTTCAAGAGTTACTAAATTAAGACAGCTTAATTCAGCTTCAGACCTGTAATTTTCAAAATCATCTTAAAGATGCTAATATACCAGGGTTCCTCAAATCCAGCCCTGGAAAGTCGCTGCCCTGCAGAGTTTACCTCACATCCTGATCAACTACCTGTAATTTTCTAGTAACTCTGAAGATCTTGACCTGTTTGCTCAGGTATCTTTGATTAGGGATGGAGGAATCTGCAGAACAGTAGCCCTCAAGGGCTGGATTTGAGGAACCCAGTCATACACTGTATATGCGTACCAAAAATCTGTCAGATATGTAAAAGAACCAGCCATGTGAGTGTGTGATGCACTGCACACTGCTACTGTCATTCCTCTGTGCCACCTCAAAAAGTATGTCTACATACCACTTCAGATGTGGCTTCTGTGACCTAATAAATCATGCAGCATGTCTTATGATGTCTACTGTATTGTGAGGAATTTGATTTCATTTGATTTCTCAAACAGCAGTCATCTAGATTTTAAAATGGCATCAATCTCAAATAATAAGTGCAAATTCCCATAAGGCTCACCTGCGGGCCCCTCCCTCTTCAAAAGGTGGAATAATGACCACTTTCACGGTGACCGAAGTCCGCAGTAGGTCGATCATCTGCTCGTGGGAGAGCGTCACTGCTGCAACTTTGCAGATTTCCACCAAACGACTACCCTGCCGGAGTCCCGCCTGCCAAGCGAAGCCGTATTCCTCCACTTCGGACACAGTTCCGTCCAAACGCACATGGAAACCAAGCTGGCCTAAACCATTACGTCGTAACGTCATATCAACTGTCTCACAACCTATAGTCAATGCCTGCAAGGGAAAAAAAACACAGACAGGAGTTTAAAGGCATATCCCATAATGCAAACCAATTCACTGACTGTCCATGTATGTTGTATCAGTACCTTAAGTCTCTGCACCACCTCTCTGATATCTTGCGCACTGCCCTCTGGTACCCGTAAGGCAACATGGTCTCCTCTGCCATAGAAAATCTTCAGTGCAAGTCTCTCTGCCGTCCAACCAATCACATCAGCACAGAAACAGTTAAACACCACCTCTTTGGTGGAGCAGTGCGCCAGGACAATGTACTCGCTGGAGATGGCGAGAGCACAGGGAAGCTCGGCGCCTCCGCCACTGAAGTCCTGTGCAAGTACGCGCCAAATCAGCGCCCCTAAGGCACCCATTTCCGCTCCCTCGCGTGCCCGGATGCGTTCCTTGCGTTTGGAGGCCAGAGAGATGAGATTGTTTAGCTTGCCAGCAGTGTCGAGTGGTGTAGTGGAAACGCAGTTCTCCGCCAGGTCCCGCAGGTATCCTTGGCGCGTGCGTGTTGCCATAGCATGGAACTTCTCTGATTTGTGCGCAGCGTTCTCTGCGTTGATGATCTTGGCCAGCAGGAAAGCACGGAAGGCAGCTGGGTCCCGGAACGTCAGGCCATTTGAAGGTAGCGGTGGACCAAACGGAGGGACGTCCTTCATGCGGGTCACTGCGACACTACAGGAAAAAAAAAAGAAGAGTTTATTACTTATTTCCACCAATCCCAGCAGGTTTTTCACTCACTGAACTACATTTTCATAACATATCTCAGCAATCGGCTACAGGCATACATGCAATACTGTTCTTAGCTAGGGTTGCTATGGAAACAAGGCCAACCTGTAGCAGGTGTTGTCAGAGCAAGGGCTGTGCACACGGACAATGACGAACACGTGCTGGAAGTGAGAGCGAATATTCTGTGGAGTGAACGGTTGGGCTCCCGGCTCCTGGAATATAATCGTGACTATATCATTTCCTATGTGCCTCTTCCTCAGGAGCTGTGAGAGAAATGAAAGGGAGAATAAGTCAGAAGTTCAATGCAATAAAAACTCGACTAGATTTTTACTTTTAGAAAATGCTGCCACAATGTTGTAGATGTTTGCCGGGATGTTGTTGTCAGAGGTTATGTGGTTACTAGGTGGATTCTTGTCTCAGACTGGCCACATTCACTGACTGTCTGATGCATGCTGCATATAAAACTGGCAAGTACTTGCTTGATCTGACAAGCTCAACTCTGATTGGCTGACTTTATGCTGGGAGTGAGGACACAGGTTTTTTTTTTTTATCTGTCCATCTGGAAACAAAACGTTTACAAGGTTCTGGTACTTTTGATGAAAACACACTCACTGGATTTGCCATGAACAATTTTTGAAAGTTAAAAAAATAATTACAGCTATCAGTACATTATAAATGAACAAAACAGGACTGCTATATTATCGTTATAGCAGTTAATGAAATATACATTTTGTTTACTATAAATTTCTGTTAATCTGATCAAACTTAAAAGGCTACTACAATATTTTTACATTAAAGTTCTGGCAACCCCAGCTGTCTTTTTTACAGTTTAGCATCACCTTTGAAAGAGACATAAGACTTATGTGATGCACTCTGTAGTGAGATAAGAATAGGTGGTCACTTATGAGCTCAAGGCAAAAGAGGCCCATAGGTCTTTATGATATTGTGGCTCCTAGATATGGCTCAGGTCTGTCCTTCAATGTAAGTCCTATGTTACTGTTTAATGCACACAATGTACCCACAAAAAAAAAGTTATGAAAGCAAGACTGCAAGAGGGAAAGAGTAGGAGAGAGAGAGAGAGAGAGAAAGAGAGAGCAAGAGAGAGAAAGGATAGTGTCCTGTTGAAGGACACAGAAAAAAAGGGAACTGGCAGAAGTATCTTCATAGATGCACAATGATTTCTGTGGTGAGAGACACAGAGGTGTGAAAAAGTCTGTTAACAGCACTGCAGCACCAATCTGTGAGACAGCCACTAAAACACATGCAATACAATGGACTAATGTTGTAAAAAGATCAAGTTGTGCTAGAATTACATTTCCTGAAGGAAATACCAGTGCGTGCAAGGTAGCAAAGGTAGAGTATTTAGGTTTTAGATCATCTTTCTTAGCTTCTCTAAATGAAATGATGCATCTGAGCCACTTTGCAATTGTCACAACAACCAGATTCAACAAATTTGCTCTTTAAGAGCAGAATTTTAAGGCATCACTTCCAATGCAAAGGAGTTTCCAAATGGTAGCCAGCATAATTATTCTGCATTCTAAGATATCTCATTTTGACCAAATTCATGGCAGCATATTCATTTAATATTCATATAATTCATATATCCTCAATACAGAAAGCAATCTCAGAATGTATTGCAACAAGCTCAAAGAAATGTTGATTACAAATATACAAATTCATTCCATGCCTAAAACTGCTTATCAACAAACCAAAAATAGCGTTACCCAAAATGTTTTGTGTGCTATGTGTTTTTATGCTTATTTTGACATCATACCAGGAGCAGAAAGGTGTCCCGCTATGTGCCCAACAGGTTGACTGTTAGCTTAGTAACATGCTAATGGCTCTTCTGGAACTCTGTTGGAACCATGTGAGTGAGTCCTGCACATGTTTCATTTGAGGAGTTATATTACACTACCTTTCAAAAGTTTAGGTTCAGTATGTTTTTTCTTTAAATAAATTAATACTTTTATTCTGCATGCATGCATTAAATTCACCAAAAGTGACACAGAAGAGATTTATTATGTTATAAAGTCTTGCCATTTCAAAAAAAATAAAAATAAAAAATGCCACAAAAATATTAAGCAGCTCAGCTGTTTACAACAATACTAATATTAACAATATTAATTGTGAATATTAAAAATAATTATTTTAAATTGTAATAATATTTCACATTATTACTGTTTTTACTGCATTTTGATCAAATAAATGCAGTCTTGGAGATTATGAGAGATTTCTTTCAAATCAGCTTCTTTCAAATTTTTGAATAGTAGTGTATATTTCAAATCAGTCATAAAATGTTAATGGGAATTCTTAAATGTTAATATGTAAAGAAAAAAAAAAAGCAAAAGCATTAATCACTTACACACCTACAGCTGAAATTAAAGCTGAAACAGACAAAACATTTAAATAGAGTCTGTATGTTCAGTGGTTCAGAATGAATTAAGTGCAGAAGTTTAATAACTAAGGGTTAGTAGATTAGTTTAAACCCTAACCAGAATGTTTGAGGAATATCAATACAGTGGTGCCTGGCGTACAATGCAAAAAGACATCTGAAATCATTCAGGAGTGCCATTCTCTGCTCTTATGTATGGAGTTGATTTGTCCATTCCAATCTGTGATCAGGGCAACATGCTCTGTGAGTTACATGGACTCATTTGAACTCTAGGAGATCTACTAAGAGAGTCGACAGCAGAGATGCTGAGAACCGATGTTTAAAACTGCAGTTAATCTACATTTAAAAATAGACCGTGAAATTAGGAGCATCTCTATGTCTCTGTGTGAAAGACTGGCCTCCAATCTGAGTCAGAGCAATAGAGGCTGCCCACCCGTTCACAACAGAGTGAGGGCATCGGTTATATAAGCTATCTTACATGTCAACAACACACAAAGGAAAAACCATGGAAACACTAGTCTTTCTTGAATGCTGACATGGCCCTCCCTTTAATGAGTTCTGAGGGGGGACACTCCTGTACCCTGAAATTATTCTACAGCCTGACATCCCTTTCTACCTCACCGTAATCACTACAACACACTCCATGTTTAGTGTGTGCGCTTTAATAAGAGAGAGAATTACCTGACAGATAAACACTGCCCTCTGCAGATCAGATGAATTTGAAGTTGTCTAATTTCTGCATAACCAAATGGTGCTGCAAAAATAATAATTTTGAAATATTCTATTTATATTAAATTATATTATACAAATAATATACGTTATATATATTATTTTCTCCCTTTACAGAAGTAGTTTTCTTTGCTGCTGATATAACCACATATATATATATATATATATATATATATATACAGTATATAACCAAAAATAAAGCAAATATTACTTTAAAAAAACTTTTTAAACATGTTTCATCCCAATCCCCACTGAACCTACAGTGCAAATATCAACAGATAAATAATTATAGTAATAATAATATTAATGAATTTTATTTGTAATGTTCCTTTCTTATATTGAGAGTACTACAAAACTGTACAAAAAAACGAAGTAAAATAATACATAATACCTGATACATAAATAACAATAACAACAATGATTAACAATTACAAATTAGACAAAAAAGTCTTTCCCTACATTATTTCCCACTTAATACTTTATTTCACTCAGATGCACATCTCACTATGCAAGTTAAACGTGCAGATGGCAATTCAGGTTGTCTTCAAGTGTGTTTTCAATTAATATTTTCATTGCAAAGCCGTTGACGCATATGCATGCACATGAAACTTCCTGAGGGCAGAAGATGCCACATTACTGGATCGTAATCAACAGTATGGAAATCACTAGAAAACCACACCCTGCTCTGATTCATATGCCAGCGCATATAAAAACAGCGGGAGAACTTGACAATAACGAACCGAAAAAGAAAAAGCGAGAGCAATTCCTTCATAACCACATGTAACAAAAAATACAGACTCTGAAAGTGGATGTCCAGAAGCTTGTGCTGCGTGAAAAAAGAGCTGCTGAATTTCCACTGGATTTACTGCAGTCACTCTATAAACTTTACTACCATTCCAGATGTTTCTTTGCAAACTGGGTCTGCCACATGCAGTACCCACCACAAACACACTGCTGAATATGAGCAAAGAAAATGAATAGCATGTAAACAATGTGCAAGACATTCTGGGAGTCTGTCCAGGTGAGAGAGAGGGGGAGGGTTGTGTCAGGATAAGTTGGGTCATGTCGGTTCTATACAGGTTCTTGGATGTACTGATGTGTGTCTTACCTGTTGAGGATTGCTGGGCATGTATGGAAGCATGGTGGACACGTGAAACATGATCTCATAGTCCTGATAGGTTGTATACAGGGAGTGTGTTCCAGTTGAGTCCGCTGTTAAACATACACATGCATATTAATGATTATAAAGACAATGTACAGTGACAATGTCAATGTACCACACTGGAATTATGGTATAAAAATTATAATTTAACCCCCAAATTAAAATTAATGTGTGTGTGTGTGTGTACATATCATCATCTAAAATCATGCTGGAGAATATGACCATCAGGTTTTACTCAAAAGTTCATGCAGCTCAAGTGCTGCTGTCATTAAAGCAAAAGGAGGACAAACCATACCAAATTATGAAATTATTTAATTGTATTATGTTAATTTAAACTTTCACTTAAATTGTCATGCTTATAATATCATTTGTAATAAAAACTAACAATTATATCAGAAAAATGCAAAAGAAAAGCCTTTTAGTTATCTTTTGGACACTAATATATACTAAATTACACCATATAGTGTCTATCAAGATGTTCCTACATGATTTTGGATATAGAGTGTGTGTAAACAACAGCAGTGCTTTTATCGATTCCAGTTTCAATTACACTCTCATATATATATATAGTAAAAATGCAGACATTTTTATGTAAGGGTTGGGTTATATTTATAACTAGCAGTATGTAAAAACAATAGAAGCCTATAGAATGTCCCCATTTACATGCAGAAGTAAAGAAGTAAATGTGTGTGCGTGTGGTATGAGCATTCAAAATGTTAAACAAAATTTCTGTGTGTAATTTCTGTGCTACCAAATGGAATTACAGTCTGTTTGTTTGAGCCATCCTGAGCAAGATTTTGTATTTCACTGTGAATTCATGGAGCTACCCAGTGTGACGCCTCAATTATAAACCAAGAGACCGTCAAAATGTATTTACACACTATGCTTTTGATGGTCGCGGTGGGTTTGGACAAGAACTCTGATTAACATGGAAGAGATGCGATTTATCGCTTGACACTTTATCGTGCTGTGCCTTTTTAGGACACGTGTAAGAGACACAGAAAGCCTTGCTCACTTTTGGTGTCTAGCTGGGCAGCATATTTGTTGAAACCCTTCAGACACACAGTTTCTCCCAGCAGCTCCAGGAAGGCGGTGAAGGCTGGCGTAGCCTCTTCATTGTTGTACATCTCCTCCTCCGTGCTCTGTCCCGCTCGACACAGCAGGATGCCCACTTTGTGTTTCTGACTAAGCTGTAAAGACGCACACGGTGACAGAGTCAGACATACTAATATGAGGAACACTGCAATTTTCCATTTTTGGGGAATTATTAAAGATGAAAACTTCACTTTCATCTCTCAGGAAGTAGTGTGACATCAAGTGTCATCATTTACTCACCCCCTGCTCATCCAGTTTAAGAAGCTGCTCTGTGACCTTTGGCGTGCTGAGAGCCAATCGCAGACAGGACACGCTGAGTTCTGGCAGCACATACTCCAGAACCTCCTTTAAAGGCAAACCACGAACCGTTCCGTGCTTTGCTGTGGACAGAATCGCGTCCTCCAGGATCGCTCCTCGTAACGTGACCAGCTGCAGCAGACACAGGAAACCATGTGGGGAGAGACGCACACAGACACACACACACATCAAATACCATCATATGACTGCCCAAATATCCTCTGAGAACATGTGACAGAGCATGAGAATGATTATGAATAGCTGAAAAATTATGTCCAGAAGTGCCCACTGTGTGGCATCCTTTCCCCACTGCTTCCTGATTCATCGCCTTGCAGCACAACCTCCGTCACAACCTCACACACGCTGATGCTAAAGCCATTAGCTACTGTAAAATTAGTACAAACAGGTGGAAACGCTGGAATACTTAAAATAATTTGTTTTTGAGGCTTGTGTTTCTGGTTTCTTGTGCCATTTGTCATACATCTGAAGACGTCATATGACTGGTCACATGGACAGCCACCCATTCAATCATTTAACTCAAACCTCTGACCAAAATAACGCTGTTGAATCAAGTTTGCACATGTTCAAGGCACTTTCGAAATGAGTTATGATCACATCTACAGCGAGAATAATGACTGTGTGAATGTGAATGAACTGAAGACGCTGCATTGTTCAGAGCGGGTGAGTTTGATGTGTCCAGGCAGCCATGTAATCTTACTAAACCCAGCAGAGCAGCAGTCATACCAGTACAGCTCAGCACTTTTCAAACACACCATTATTAAGCAAAAATGACTGCATGGTCTTTATAGCAATGTCTTGCACGCAAGGCACAAAACATGCTCAGAATTTATTTTCAACTACAGTGTAACTACATTGTAACCCCAGTGTAACTACAGCGTAAAAAACAGGAGATTTGATGAGACAGATCCGTAAACATGACATGAACTAGTGTCGTCCTCCTATATGTGAATGAAAATGGCATAGGTGCAAAAAGATGGCCAAAGTTCTCAAAATTATTTTATTAATTTTTACAATGTCTCGCATAACCTTTTGTGTTTTTAAAGCAACAAATCAAGTACAAATTGTCTCAGGATCTCTACATTGCTCCCTACTATGCCTATAAATAAAAGCATTGGCCCAAAAGGCCAATTGAGGGTTCCATCAAAAAGCACAAACCTCTCTCAAGCCACACTGTTAAGCCTACCAGAAAGGGTTTTATCAGATTTAATCAGATCGCAGTGAGAACAGACAACAAAAATTTCACGCTCAAAAAGATGGATTAAAGTGGCCAGAGAAGCCCACGGACAACTATGTGTTTTTGTGGGTAAATGAATCATTTTGTCATGGGAGCTGAGTAGGGATGCAGTGATTAACCGGTTTCACGGTTAATTAATCGTAAAGGTTCCGCTAAACCGAGTGTTTGTGTTACACGGAACGGAACTGTTGCAGCTTGCGCAAAACGAAAACAAAGTTACACTAGCGGTGCACCAGCTTAAAATTACGTGCTTATCAGAGGCACGGAGGCTACTGCATTAGATTAACTGTGACAGAGGGACCAAACAGCAAAGCTTTATTTCCACCAGAGAAATGCCTGTCGATAGTGTGGGACCATTTTAGGTACACCAAGAATGACCAGGGTGTCATTTAAATATTGCTGTAAAAAACTGCTGCTAAAGAGCGAATACATAAGGGATGATGCACGACTAGCTGTACATTGAACGATTTTAATGCACGACGTGAAGGCAAGAACCACCTGACGCGAAGCTACAGCTCGTTAGCTCAGCATTCTGCCCGCTTCAGATCAGAAAGAGATGAAATAGTGCGGTAAGATCACATTTATTTGAATCAATGGGAGAGATGGACTTTTGTTTGTCTTTTGTTTATTATTATTGTGTGTTGTATTGTTGGTTACTGTGTTATTTCTGTTTCAAAAGCCAGCAATAAATAACACTTTAATATCTAAAGAGTGTTCATGTGATTTTATACATTAGTAATGTTGGGAAATGAATAAATGCATAATAATCGCCATAATCGTAAAACCGTGATTATTCCTCAGACAATAATCGTACCAACAAAATCTATAATCGTTGCATCCCTAGAGCTGAGCCCCGGTCTGATCCAGGTTTAATTCATTTAATTTGCACAAATATCTGTAGCTATGTTTACATCACCCTGTTTTAATGCTCATTTTGAAGCATCGCATCAGAAACGAGTAATGGAAATGCCAAGTTTGGGGGAAAAAATCCCTTACTTGGAAAAAAAAAAAACGCTCGCTCGAGGTGGTTTTTGTCTCGTGCGAAAAAGGGTTAATGCGAATAATGGAAGATGGAAATGCATTTGCCAAATAAATTCAAAAAATCATGTGACTTTGCGCAATGGGATTGCAAAACCTGACTAACCCAGTGGACCGATCTTGTTGAACAGCATCTGAATTGTTGTTATGGTCATTCTTAAATGCCCGAGTAAAGTCTGTCATCAAAGTATTAATGAAGTCAGAACTGCGTTCCCGAAACAGCAGGCATCCACGAAAGCAATGGCCACATTCATTGTGTTTCATCTGCTCGCTTGGACGAACAAGTCATTTAGCTTTGTAAAAATCGACGCGTTTCAGAAAGGCGGGGCATAGAGGAAAAACAATAATGTAAAGTATGTGGAAAATAATGTGTTTTTTAAACCTTAAACTGCATAAACACATTTCATTACACCAAATACACCAAATAATGTTCTTTTTAGCAACATCACATGACCCCTTTGAGTTATTAACTTGTAAGTTAAGTTCTAAATATATAAACCAGTCTGCATGCCCTTTCTGGTCACCGAAAATCTGGATGACAGAGATTACTTCTGGAATGGTAACCTTTATCTCACCAACCCCATTAAATAAACACAGAAAACTAATTAGAGCATTCAGATAACCTCCCGTCTGCAAGGATTTATCTAATGTGGCTAAGAGGTGACAAACATGGTATTTTTAGACATTGTGTTTTTTTTTTTTATAACATTGGCATTTTAGAAAGCAAGACCTTTAGCGAGATTAACATTTGGGAGGCAGATGTGTGGCAGGGGTGCAGCTTCAGCTCCAGTTTGTGCTTCTATTGGCTAATAGCGAGAAGCATTGATAATTGTGGCATGCTTTGATAATCTCTTCCAAAGGAAGAACTGAAGGTAGAACTTGGGTTTACAGAATTTATTAAATGTTTAAATCCCAAAAACCTGTCCTGTTATGACACTAAAAGAAGGGAAACCATTAAATACAGGAGTATAATTGAGAGTGGGGCAGATACAATCAGAGGTCAGAGTCACCTCAATGAGACACTGCATTGAACAAAAATGAGGTAAACCACACAAGACAGATTGAAACTGATCCTGTAAAGTCACTGGGGTTCAAATGCCATCCAATTATGATATTCTGATATAGGGCTGTCATGATTCCTTGATTCAATTAGAGTACTCGATTATAAAAAAATCCTTGATTGCATTTTGCCCATGTCGAGTAACCGGCAAAATACTGGAAGTGGTGCATTCCACGGACGAGAATCCATGAAACTCATTAGACCATTTTCCAAGGATGCATGATATATTAAACTCATTTAAAAATCATAATAAAGCATAATACTATTGTGAATTCGCAAACGCTATGATTCAATTAAATAAATATATGTGATGCAGGTTTAATATAAGCGCTGTAATTATTTACATGCGTGTAGGTTACAAACATGCGTGTCAGAGTGACTCACAGTAAATGCTGTTCCACACGAACTGTTATCATTTACATGTGTGGAGCGTCTCAAACTCTGCATATTATAACGTTCATCTGGGAATGCAACATGCACCATTTCATCAGATTTGTAAGGTAAATC